TTACTACATCCTTGAAGTAGCTCTGCCAAAAAACACTAAATAAAAACAAACAAGAATTTTTTTACCCCCTTATAGCAGAATGATGTGTGGCATTTGGAGACTATTCACCAGCTAATCACACAACGTCTCTCTGTACCTGCATTAACACCTGCTGATGTCCTTTTTGCTGCCCACAACTGGTTTCTTTCTTTTGATTTAAAAACGTACTTGAGGCATCACACCGCCACACTGTGAATCATTTTAGACTTATTGATCTTAGAACGACAGGCTCCTCTGTTACATTTAAGATGTGAGTTAACTGCACTTCAGTTGATTTTTAAGTCAAAGTCATCTAATGAGTTGTGAAAATGTAAAATTAGCGGAATTAGATTAAGTGAACTTAAGAAAACATGTATGATACATTTAAGAAAATAAGTTGAGTCAACTAGTTAGAGACAGACTTGCTTTCCTTTTACATTTTAGTTTCAATAGTTTCTTCAGAGTTAGTACATAGAGAACCTGTGAAGCCGCTCTCGGGTACAATTAAATAAATATATGTATGTACAGGTGTAGGGGCTGAATTCAACGCCAACATTAGACAGGACGTATGTTGCATTTGTTTCTCATAAACTGAATTTAATGAGTTGAGTGAACTCTTAGCATACTTCATTTAAGTCATCATTTTAAGCCAGAATACCTCAAGTTATAAGAACTTAGGTTTTTAATTTTTCAACTAAAAATCTGGAAATAAAACAACATTTCATTTAACTAGAAATGAACAAAACTAATATATTCACATTAAGTCAACACAGGAATATGAGTTGATTTGACTAAATGTCTCTGTGATGTTTTACAGTGCAGAAATGAGAAATGCTTCTCTAAATTGGGTGTGATGTGTGCATTTACACACGTGGCACAGCGGCGGTAACACATTACCATTTCATTATCTGAATGTAAATGATATTCTGTGTCCCTCTACACGTCTGACAGAGCTGCTGTTCCACACATATCGCAGGTTTATATGGTGAAATTATTTGAATTAAAGCTTCTCTGCATGAATCCTGAGCTGTCTGTACATTCTGATTAAGATGAGCTCGCCATAAGCACAAAATGTTTTATTTATACTACGGGACTGGAGTAATGGAGGTGAGCTTTTTTTTTTTTTTTTAGAAGCTTAAATAAGCCTGAAACCCCTCTGAGTGATTACACTCTTATCTATTTAAGTCTCCAAGATGGGAAAAACACAATATCTCTTCATTTTTAGGTCTCTTCTGGGAGACTGAGACATTATAAAGGTACATTAAACTGATTTACAGTCGTCATCAAATGCATTCATACCCTCCCATTAAAGAAGGAAAAAAAACAGCTGTCACTGAAATAAGTTGAACTTGATAAAAGTAACAATAAATACAAATTTAATGAAAATCATGACATTGCTTTTGAATTGTGGTTCAACAGAAATATAACAAAATAAAAAACAAACAAAAAAACACAAGCAAATAAGCATGATGTAAACTAAAAGTTTGTTGAACAACCCTTTGAGCCAATCACTGCAATCAAGTGTTTTCTGTAACTCTCAGTCAGACTTCTGCACCTGTTGACAGGTATTTTGATTTTGACCCAAGGCTCATCAGCAAAGTGCTCTCATTTGACCGGACATTTCTTTTTTCTTTTCTTTTTTTTTTTTTTTAAATTATTCTTTTCAAATACAATTCAAAAGCAATGTCAAATCATAATTTAGCATTTTTTTTTAAATATTATTTTTTTCAGTTTCTCGTTATTTGAGTGACTATTGTGAATTTTGCCTTTTTGTTCTTTTTCTTTTTTTTCCCCCAATTTTACACTCCGGTCCAGTTGGTGGCGGTACGAACAGCTCCATGTTGGTTTGTAGTCCACAAATTCTCGCGATACTACCCTCGTCTCATTTGAGCTCAACTGGAGGGATTTCTGTTGTGGTGCTGAATGCTGCTAACACGCTAGCAGAGCAGAGATAAACTTATCTGCAACTAACCTGCTCCTCTTTACTGACAAGATAGTTCCAAGGTGAGGACTTGTGCTTCTGAGCAACTCCTTTGCTAAAGCTTTTAAACTTGTTAGCTCTGTGGCGCGTTTGAAACGGCTGTAGAAACACTGTGAGTGTAAATTGTGGTGACAGTTTAGCTAACTAACTTAAACACATGACAGAAGCGACAAAAGTGGCCTAACGTAGCGACTAACAGAACAGTTAGCTTTTGTTTAGCTGCTAGGTTAGTTTGCTTAATTTGTTGTGCTAATTGTGCCAGGAGGAAGGAGGTCAATGTCACTTAGCTGTCTTTTTATGCGTCTAGCGAACAGCTAACGTGGCTTCTTTGCTTTTCATAACGTGAATGTGCTAAACCTGAACTGGGCAAAGTTATAATACATTTCTACACATGTAGAGCTTTAAAATAGTGCAATGTGCAATTTGGAGTTTTCCCACTGGGACTAACGGATGTCTATATATCTAACTTAAACCCACACAGATGACTGCACTTTTGTGGTACAGCAATAAGGTTGTGTTTGCATTGCCGCACTGTAGTGTACTGACTTTTGCTCATGCTATGGATGCGTCCTTAGTGCACGGCAGCGCCAGTGACTCTCAGAATGGATCTGGAAGATGACACCACAGTGTTAACAACCTTGAAGTCCTTCAATTCCTTCATCAGCCGCTCTGAAAATCCACAGCGGCTGTCAGAGCCCTCAGCAGGGAGTGGAAACCTGCAGAGTCAGTACAAGCGCAGCTTGGAGGTATACGGAAACTGTCAACATCAACAGCAAGCTGAGTAAAAGCAGCATCAACATTCAGCCTCTGCACTGACTTACTTGTCCTCCTTTTTTTAGCTTTTGGAAGCAGCAGAGAGAGTTCAGTCTAAGAATCGGTACCTGCAGTTGGACCAGGAGAAGAAACAAATGGAGCTGAGTCACAAGCGAGCTCGTTTTGAACTTGAGAAGGCAGCTTCTGACAGCGCACGAGACTTGGAGGTACAGGTCACATGTCTTTACACATTCGTACGGTGCAATGTAAGGTAATGATGAGGAGCTGTAGTTTTAAGTTTCTGCTGGGGATTCACAGTAATGGGGGAGAAAAATGGCATTTTCATGTTTTTTATTTCTGTGATTTGAAAAATTACTGACTTTAATCACTGTAGTGGCTTCGATGGAATTGGTCAAACAAATAGGTTGTTGTGCCTTGCGTAGTGGCGGTAATTGCAAGACACTGCCAACAGAGTAGTTGTTTTTCCTCCACGTCACCCTTCCAGTAACCAAACTGTTTCCATAGATCTGGTTTCTTCTCTGTTTCTCCTTCATTTTGCTGTAAACATGTGGAGCCTGCATGTCGGCAAACTCCATGTCTTGTGAATAAAATTGAGAAAAGAACAACAACTTAGTATCATGTCAAACAGACTTCTCTTATAGACTAGTCACAGAAAATGACACTTGGGAATTTTCTTTTTTTTTTTTTTGTCATGCAGTAAATACAAGTTGTAGCGTGATGTGTTGCCTGATTTCCTTATTGCACGTCTTGCGAGTTGGCTATTTTAATGTGCCCGTCATGATCTTGGCGCTGAAACAATATATTGTGCAGCTCCAGTTACTGAGCACAGTTTATCCAAAGCACTCCCTCATCTAGAGAATCCCACGTGAACAAGGTTGTTCCTGCATAGAGCTGCCACAAAGAGGTTTTAGCCAACACCAAAGGAAAATCCCCTTGCAATTTTTGGATTAGTTTGGATGTTTGGAATTTTATTTTCAGAAATAACCAGAAAAAGTCTGTCAAATTTCATGACCCAGACTCATTGTCTTACTGCATGCTGACCAGTCATACATAGTCAACACTCCCCAAAGGCAGATTCTGAGCTGGACAAACCCTGATGAACTCAACCTGGAGGAAACAGTGAATAAAATCTGTTCTCAACTTTTTATGTTACAGCATGAGGTGGACCGAAATCAGGAACTTTTGGGACGGATAAAAAAGTTGGAGGAGAGAGAGACAGAAACGACCAAGAATCTGTCGGATCAGATGGAGGCAAATCGTGCTCTCCGTAAGAACCTGGAGGGTCTGAACAAGAAACTGGAGGAGCGAGATACCAAACTGAATACAGCTAATCAGGTAGACACACAGACTTGGTTTGAAACTCTGGTCATGTCTTTTAGCTTATGTTGGCTTACTTCTGTAATCTCTTCCCAGACCATCAGTTCTTTGAAGGATGAGATCAGAGAGCTGAAGCAGACGATTCAAAATCAAGACTTGACAATTTCTACTCAAACCCTGGAAAACCAGGAGCTGCAGGAACAGCTCGATTTACAACGCAGGTGCAGACACATAGGAGCTACCATACACTTGCTGTGTTTAATGCTAATGGATATTGAGCCATACTGCTTAAGATAAATGCTGACCGCACACTTCTGTCTCATCTGTATTATCATCAGGAAGTATCAGGAAGTCTCCCAACTTTGCCAAAGTCTCCAAGCTGCCCAGTCCTCTTGCTCAGAGCACATCATCAAGATTAAGGTATGTTGCGCTTACACACAGTTGATGCTACTTTTGGACGCTGTCTGATCTCATTTAACAGTGTTTGTGCACGGAGGACCAATCTGTCTGCCATGAACCTGATGATTTTGTTACAGCTTTGATGTGGCCACTGAAATGTAATTTTCAGTATCCTCGACTCAAAGTAAGCACTGAGCATTAGCCTTCTGTCACAGCAAGAATGCTCTGGGTTAAAATTTACTGATTGCAACCTTCTGTGTGTAGTTTGCATGTACCAAATATTAGATATCTGTAGGTATTGTGTGAACGTGGATGGTCATCTGTGTGTGTGTGGCAGCTTGTCCAGAATGTATCCTGCCTCTCGTATAAACATGGCCCGTTGTAACTCTCTGCAGGAAAATGTGTATAGCTAATAGGTGGATGGCCAGATTGAACAGCAGGTGCCCAAGAATCAATGCTTGTAGGACTCCTTATGTCATGGTGGTTGTTTTAGATCCATAATTACTGATGCTGACTACATGCCCCCTGCCTTCTAAAAATAATCTGAACCACATGAGGACTACTCCTGATACATGGATGTGCAAGACAGCAAGAAAAAGTAGGAAACAGAAGCCAAATCAAATAGAGTGCCAAATGTAGCAGCATTTGAACATCCAGCTACGACTGCTTTTTACAAAACTGACAGTGAGTGGCTAAATGAGCAGGAGTCAAAGAGAAGCCTGCACTAATGCAGATGATCACAAACGTAGACAATTTGAGCATATGCATGACGTTATGCAACTCACTCTGAGTTACGTAGTTTATCATTTTTGGACTTCTTGCTTTTCTTGTTTGAACTGCTTTTTTGCTTCATTTCAAATCACATAGTATTAGTTGAAATTAAATTTTCAGTATGTGGAACAAAAGCAAGAGCATTGAATGCTTTTGCAGCGTGCTCAATATAATCTTGGCAGTTGTTTTTGGCTCATTTCTCACTTTCTATTTTGGCAGGAGTTGGAGAGGCGTCTTAACCTCCAGGAGCAAGATATTGCCATTGTGAAGACTGTTAAGTCAGAGGTGGCCAGAGTTCCAGATCTGGAAAAGGAACTGAAGCGCCTCAGAGAGGATAATAGCTTTCTCAGGTCAAATACATTTTTTAATTTTTGCTGCATTTGGAGATAAGAAGTGTCTCCTTACTCTCTGTGTGGTTGGGACCTTTCAGTAGATATCCTGTTTTTTTTTTTTTTTCTAATGACCATAACCCGGAACAACTTTGTAGTTTTAAAAAAAATAAGAAAGAAACTTTATTTGTAATACCACAGAGCAGACAAGTGACTCTGCTAGTATTGCCACTGGGTTCTTCAAACATTACAGCATGTGTTTGGTTCAGTATTATGTGCATAATCTGGATGCTATCAAGCCCTAGTGTACATACAAGCACTGAAAGATGAAGTAGAAGAGGAGTCGGCCCGTGTATTAACTTAGACTAAATATTTGTCAGACTAAGTGCAGAAATGCAACAACTGATGTGTTTGTGCATAAATATTATCCAGTGTCAGCAGTACTCTGCTTACAGAAAACATCAGTTTAATACATCAAACTCTTTACTTTCTGAAGATAATGGATTAAGGATTCTGTAACTTGCTACTTGGTCATGGCAACCCTTGAAGAATTGAATAGTTTGCATAATAGTGGTATGAAACGCTGTTCCTTCCCTTTCTTCTTTCTTTTCTCTGCCTGATCCCATTTTAGAGAGAAACTGTGTAAACTGGGATTTAAGTGTGATCAGATTACTGCACCAATGTGTTATCTAGCGTAACACCTTAACCCAATTATTTACAATATCTGTTTTTTGCTTGTGTAGGAAGTCACTGTAAGTATAATGAAAACAGGTTTTTAAAATTAACATCAATGTAAATGTGGCGAGGTATTAAAAGTATGCCATCAGACATCAGAATCTGAGTTCCATGTTAAATTTCTGCTTTTTGTCTTTGTCCAGGGAGAGTAGAGAGAACTGCAGCCTGTTGAAGGAGGAGGTGGAGGGATTACGGAGGAAGCTGGAGAGGATGGAGAAAACCAAAGAAGAGCTGGTTAATATGGAACTGGAGAAAGAGGTGAACTGTGTGCAATTGTGGGTTGTGCATTTTCCTGTACTAGCATTTTAATATTCACTTGCACGTAGTTTAAAGATAGAGTACAGCAGGACTTCTACACATCAATGAAAATTTGTTAAATTTAAGCCTTTGCCAACAAATACGCACAAGGACGATTAAACCTTTCAGCGCAGTCTCTTGGTGTTCTTTCTTCAAATCCAGTATCTGTGTGGAAATTCCTGTGCTGCTGCACCCATAGAAAAGAAACTCATTGTTCATTAAAGCCTAACTGATATATACAGGTAGAATTATTGGATTGTATTTTTGCTGATTTATTGGACATACAGGCAGAATGTGTCCTAGTCTGCATCTTTATGTAGTTTGACTTTGTTTTGACTCGCCTTTTCAGTATTTTTGTTGTTGGTCTTTTCTTCTAATCTCCTGTGAAGTTTTTCTTTCCAAGTTTTCTGTTACCTTCTACATTTATTGTGCAACCGGTTTTTAATGTTGTCATTGCTTTTTAATAAACAAATTTGAGTAATAATATTTAAAATAGTAGAATAGAATATTGTCTTGTGTAGTATAATTGTTTTTACTCTATGTATTGATGTGCTTATCTTCCTTCATGAGGACATATTGGTGTTTATTGTTCTCTGCACTTGAGTGCGAGCATAATATCTCCATTAACTTCTTGTATATGGACAAACACTTTGCCTGTTGTTTCATCAATACTGTAGAGGCTTGCTGAGAAGCTCCAAGCCTGGGAAAACCTCGGCCAGTCTACTGGACTCAACATAAGGTCAGACACTGTATGAAAGTGCGTATGACTGTGTGTCAGAGAAAAAAAGAAGTACTTCAGAAGATTTTGTTTATTTTTTTTGTCACATATTTAATGAAATATAAAGAGGTGCCACTAGGTGGCGCTGTGGTCACTCCAGATAAATGTGCCTCATCATTGTGGATTGATTCCACCAGTGTGTATAGCTGTCTGTTTGTTTTGTACCTGCTTGTGAGTGTGTGTGTGTCTCAGTGCATTCACTCAAAACTGGTAATGAGAGAATGATTGCATGTTTCCTTGTGAGCAGTGGAGCACATCTGACAGATTATAAACATTGCAGACCTGTTCATTGCATGCATGCATGCTCACGCGCACGCACGTACACTCACCATTTTCTTTGTGATTAACTGTGGCTGTGAAGTCAACAGAATGTTTAATGAAACACATGCACACTGCGTATCCAGTTTGTTTTATATCATGTGTGTGTATGAAAGTGTGTATAAAATGCGTTAGCCATTTCTACTGGGTGAAAAGAAAAAGCTAGATGTCAACACTTAATAAATGACCAAATAAAGTGACATTTTCCTCATGTAAGGCTTCGTTTTAGTGTTATGTAATGTGTTGTGGGACCTGACATTGTTAAATTTACAGGTATTAAAAGATTTGGGAGTATCAAGGAGTGTAATACCAACCTCCTTTAATATATACAGTAATTTAGTTGGGCTGTCCATCATTTTTCTGAAAAATCTAAGTCCAGCTCAGCTGTCATCCTCGGTAAATTGAGTTGAAATTTGAAAACCATTTCCAAAATTCAGGTGTTCAGACTTCCATGTCATGCTGCCTGAGTGCAGTTGATTTTAAAAAAATCAATAAAAATATTGCACATCCAGCTGCAAAAGGACAGCCGTACCACGTGAGGCTCATACTGATCAAAAGTGAAGGTTAATGCAGCCTGCAAATCTACATTTAGAAACTGCTTTAAGCTGTTTTTGCTGTTTACTAAATGTCCAAATTAATTGTCAAGAGGGTCAGGATGTTATTTTCCCAAAACACTCCTGTGATGTGGAGGCAAATGGAAGTAAGCGTGTTTCATTCAGCAATTTGTTCACCTTTATTGCACTCGGTGCAACAGTGCTGTGTGAAAATTAGTATTGACGTGGATTTGTGCATTAGTGGGATATTGTGATTGCCTTGTAAGCTATTAAACAGCCATTATTTCATAATTTTACTCTGCTGAATCTTGTCAGGCATATAATTGTCAAAGTTTTTATGAGGAACTTTAAGAATCAGAATAAATGAAACTGGATCTGGAGTTATGTTGTACTTTTCTTGTAGTTAAAAATGATGTGCAAGTTTTAGAAGAAAGGGAAATTGATGACACTGCAGTGACAGAATGTAGAAGATAATATCGCATAGCAATCAGTAATGTAACAGTGTTAGAATTAATGCTGACATCAAAACAAAGCTGCCTGTTTAGGGCGCTTCTTGTTCTGTCATTAAATATGAAATATCGTGAAAGAGCTGCAGAGTTTTGGCACACTCGCATGCATTTGTGTTAGTTTGTTCATTGTGTTGGCAACAACGTCATTTTTCATAACTCCGAGCTACTGAGACTTTATTTATTGTTTCACTTTAGTTTTCATAATGTAACTTTTTCTGTCACTAAGCATTTCAGGATGACCATTAGTGGTCTGAAAAGAATACGTACTAAAGCAGTTGTTAATGAGGAGTAAACACATCATGTTGGAGTTTAAGACATTGTCTCCTGCAAACCAGGATTTCATTTCTTTCCAGCCATTTTGCTGTTTTGCCAAAAAAAAAAAAGTATTGGACAGAAGAGAACCGTCCGAGACAACAATGAGCGTTGCTGCATGGTGAAGTAGACAAGCCTCAAAGCCGCAGCTTGAATTTGCCAGCAGTTGGCCGGTTGCTACAAGTCATTTCCTTTCTCTCCGTTACATGGTTCGATAACATTGTGGCTGCTTACGTGTGTGTGCATGTGGCTGACAATTGGAAACTGACAGACATAGAAAATGAAAATATTCCTTAAAATTAGGCTGTTTAAGGATGGGAAGGTTTTCCAGAAATGATTTTTCTTTTCAGTGACATTTTCACCAGACAAGGACAGAACTGAGACAGTTCGCTGCATGTGGGTCTAAAGTCACTACCGGAGGAAAGTTTTGACTCATAGATGGTGTGTTGGATTGTACTCAGTAGTTCACGCAGAAACACAAGTGCTTATGTGTGTGTGTGTGTGTGTGTGTGTGTGTGTGTGTTTTATGCGTATCATAATGCTCTTCCCCACAAGTATGTTGATGTACTTGATGCAGTTCCCCATGGATTTAGACTTTCTTTTTGTCTCCTCTGTTCCCATGATTCCCAAGTTAAAGGATTTGTCTTACATTATGCAAAAGACAGTCAGAGATTTTCCTCAATTTGCTCTGCTGCTAAATGATCATACACTGCAGTCGGTTTACATCTGTCTAGTCTCTCGTTATTGCTTTCTGAAAACACCAAAGAATAATAATTTCTCAGCAGGTTTAACATTCAGTTAGGCATCAAAATAATTTAATGCTAAGCAATGATAGGTATCAAACCCATACGATACTTTTTATACAGTGACTCACTATTTTTTGACCTTTTTATATGGAGTAAAACATCTGTCAAATAATCTGAATAGAATTAACAGACTTATTGATAGTTGCCAGTTGCCCTCCTAGTATGTGCAGGTCTCGTGTCAGCTGAGTTTAATTGTGTGTGCTGGGAAACATATTTGATAACGATGTACCCATTTCTGCTCTGATTTTGTGTTCACTTCACTGTGTAAGTTACAGTTAAGAAATTTCAGCTTTGCCTTTTCACCCAGCACAAACCGTATCTCCCTGCTATGCAAGTATGTTAGAGGAGTGTGTGTATAAATATTGTAGAAAACATAAAAATTGCATGTAACATGAGGTTTATCTATAAATGGCTTTGAACTCTTAAGCGTCAAATAGAAGTAAAAAAAAAAAAAGACCTGTTTCTCTGAAAACACATGAACAGCGGTAAGAGTTTGCTTGTATTTGGGTTATTCAGTGTTTTATAAAACTGAGTCGCAGCACTTTTAACAAGGTTTTAGGCTAAACGCTGGTGTTACTCACTCCCCTTCCTATTCACTTAAGGGAGAGTTTTAAACTAGGCTTGCAGTGAACTCGCAGCACCCTGACAGTGCATTTAATTTTCATGGCGTCACACCTCGTAGTCGTTCACGATGTCTCACCCAATAATATGCAACCAACCTGTTACTTGCATCATCAACGGAGATGACTGGCTCGTTGCCTGCAAAGCAAAACGGAAGGAAAAAAAAACCCAGCAGAGGACAGAAAAACTGCCTGTTGTGTAATCTCAGGAGGTGGTTAATCCTTCTGTGCTCAGTGCAATGTGGAATTACCTACTTTGGGTAGCATAATTAGTCCATCATATGATTCACAAACTCATATTTTAGTCATGAGATTATTTCTATATTTAAAAATCTACCTAGCTAAGTGGAAGTGGCTTTAAATCCACACCAGCCGACTTTCACATGACATACCTTGCTTTCCGGCCTTGAGGTTAACCTCGACCGCTCGTGGCCTTTTCCTTCCATACGCCTTAATTGACAGGAGACTTGGTAGATTGCCTCGTGTTTGAGTACAAGACCAGATCAGGTCTTATGCTGCCACTGACGGTCTTTGGTGAAATGTGAAGTTCAGTAACATGTTTGATTTTTGTAATGGAAGAAAAGCAATGTTTGACTAACCTGTATGTTGAAAGTTTATGGCCTCAACATTTTTAACTCATAACGTTGACTTGCTCTGATATAGCTGTGTAATTTGGTCTAAAGGTGGCAGCAAAAGTAGGCTTTAGAGTGAAATCCTCCTAACTTGTCGCCATTTCACCAGAGATAAAGACATAATGGCATTAGTGTTTTGGACAGATCCATACTTACACACAGGCCTTAGAGTTTGGAGGGCGTTTAGTGCATCCCAGATGAAATGTGAGACCGACTGCATTGTTATCTTACCATTATGTGTTTGTGTGTGTGTCGTGTAACCTGTCAATCTCTCCCACGGAGTGAGTTTGTTTTGTAGAACGGTGACCACTATTTAGCCTACTATCCTCCTCTCATCTCTCCCTCTGCTGCTCGTGTCATTTTACTTCGCAGCTCCCCACTGGCTAACAAACAAAGGAATATGGAAACGCTGTCGTTTCCATCTATTCTGTCCTTTCTGCTTTCTCAGTTGTATTGATTTTTCATTGTGTGTGTCTGTGAGTGTCTGTGTGTGTACACATGTGTATCCTAACTGTTCTGTGCTGTGTCTGTCTGTAGGAAACCAGAGGATCTGTCCAGGGAGGTGATTCAGATCCAGCAGAGAGAAATTGCTCTGAAAGAGCAGAACTACACGCTCAACAGCCGGTAACACACACTTTCTCACAAAATCCTTTTCTCTCCCTTCAGACCTATTTCTCTCATTTTGTCTGCCTGCATGCCTCTCCCCCCCATGTATCTATTAGAGCATATCTCTGAGAAGTCCTTAATTGTCACAAAGTTAATTAAACTGGTCCTGATTCTGATAGCACTCCTGACAGTAACCACTGGTGTGTGTGAGTGTATGTGAGAGAGATTGTGAGTACGAGAGAGGGAATTCACTAATTAAACTTGTCCTGTTTAGACAGAGGTGATGTCTATAGGGAGGGCTACGCGCATGCTCTGGTATATTCATGCTGCAGCTCAGTCCAGCTAAGAAAGCTTTCATTAGCTAACAAGCGTTTCTCTTCTGCTCAGCGTATTGGGCTCATTATGAAATATTAGAAACAGCAGAATGGGAGAGTGGTGGGTGTGGGGAGGGGATGGCGAAGGGAGCTTACGGTGTAATAATTGCCCCTCGGTATAATTATTGTCCTATTGATCAGACCTGGCACAAATTTTCTGCTGCAAATAGTTTCTAGACACTTGTCTAGGAATTATGTGGTGTCAGTCAGGTAAGTTGTAGGGAGTATTATTCTAAATTGACTATGAATTGCTTTTCTCAGATTGTCTGAAAATTCAGCACTAATCAACTCATTTCCCCCTTCGCCTGCCCTCTCTCACCCCTGTTATTAACATGCATGCACACAATTGCTTCCCACCTATTCATTTTTCCTGCAGAGTGAGGAGTGTGGAGCGCTCGCAGTCTGAGCTTCGTGCAGAGCTGACCCAGCAGCGCAGCAAGACTCTGGAGGAGCAGAAGAAGAGAGAGACACAGGATGCGCTCGTCCGTCGACTACAGAAGCGAGTGCTGTTGCTAACCAAGGTACCTGGTGATCAAAGCAACGCATACACTCAAACACAGACAGATCAGCAAATATCCCTACCTTCACATCACTTTTCAACCATCACCCAACACCAGACTTTTGCTTTAAACTCTCAGGGAACACAGTAGAGGCTCAAGGCCAGAACAGAATCCTTGATCTCGCCTTTGCCCTTCTCTCATGCTAATTGGCCAACAGATGTCATGTGACTTTTCTGTCTGTCTGTCTTGCTTCCCCCCTGCTCTGCATTTCTGGACTAGACCTCCCTGGGATATTGATTTCTCAGTGTGTAATTCCCGAGGTCATCATGCTCAGTCTGTTAATACACAAATCACACACACCCGTAAGTAGGCAGGGTTAAAGGCAGGCTTTAAATATGATTTGACCGAAGAATGTCATGGCAGAGTCTGCATTCAGTCATTTGCCCAAGTATTCAGAGGATGTGAAAATTAATTGTTTAACATCGAGTTGCAGTGTACTTTGAAAAATATGTGTTACACTGGGTTTTTAAATACTTTGACTCTTTCATTCATGCAGACATAGTTGCTTAACGTTTTGTTTCCAACCAGCCAAATATTCATAAAGTTCAATTACCTTAATGACTTTAGTCTAATTATGTTATTGCCTCTCACCCAACCATATCGTCAACAGCCCAACTTTATTTCGTAAGCTATGAATAATTTCTCTTGGGTTCATTTTGTGTATTACCAGGAAAACTACAGCATACTCATAGATCAGATATGGAATGAATGAAACCAGTCAGTGTTTTTTTATTATTAATATTATTATTATTATTATTGTTATTACGGCATCAAGAACAAATATATTCCAACTTTAACTGCTGTTACTTTCTGACTAAAATAACCTTTTAGTGCCATTTTTTTAGTGCCAGCTTAATTTAATGTAGGTATTTTCTACATGGTGCAACAGCAAGTGCCCCTCCACTTAAAAGCGTGTTGTGGTTAATGGTGCTTCTCTCGGGTGTTTGTCCTTCACTGCGCAGAGCGATGTAGTGTGTTCAGAGTTTGACTTTGCTCAGATTACTCTGCTTAAAGTTGAAACTTTCCTTGAACTCCTCTGAAGTCTGAGTTTAAGATGTTCACTTGCAAACTTCATTTGTAGCATCACAACTAGTCAAGAAGCCAGTCTGGGTCAAATAGGTAACGAAGACAAGTGTGATATGGAAACCTACACGCACATATGTCATTTGAAGAACGTCTGAATAGGTAGCCATTTTTTAGGAGAGAAAAATGCATCAGGCACAAATTGTTATTCAGGGCAGAGTATTATTTTTTTTTAACGTACCGTCGAACATGCCTGGAGGGATCTTAAATAAGTTCAATATCATCCAGCTTTACCAAGAAAACAAACAGAGGAAGAAGAAAAGCAGGAGCAAATCCTCACAGTTCCTGAACCCGGAAAGTACCTGGTATTTGTGACTGACAAATTGTGAATGTTAGTTGTGAGTTCATTTTGTATTGATCAACTACCCAGCTAATCAATTAATTGTTTGACATCTAAAATGTGCCGATCTTTGTCTCCTTCTTTCACTTATAGAAGTGACTATATAGTGTGTACTGGTTCATAATGGCCTTGCTCTGCTGCCCTTAGACAATGGAAGATGGAAAGAAGAGAACAAATTTCATTTCTTGCACACATTGGTTTCTTTCTCTGTTTCCAGTGACATGAATCTCTGTCTTTGCGTCTCCTTTAAGCTACCAGCGGTGGCCTACTCACGTATTTTGTTTCTCATATGCTTTTGTGGGACAGAGTCGCTGACCCATTAGAGGCACAGCCACAGCTTCACGCACTAGATAAAACAGTTGACACAAAAGCAATTTAAAAAAAAAAAATAGATGATGAATAGAGTAATGATAGTTTTATCACTCTGTCCTCCTGCTCGCTGTTTGTTTGTGTGTTTTTAAATTGACAGTTTTTTATCAGAGAGAAGCTGACAGATTTTTGATTAAGATTGAGTGAATTTCTTCACACGTTAATAGACTGTAAACAGCCAAAGGGCCTACTGGTTAGCATTGAGAGCAAACACATACACATTGACCTCTAAATGTATTTGTACCTTTTTGTATTTACTTCGATTTATTCTGTCCTCCTGTTTGTTTCCTTCTTCTCTCCTTTCCAAGGAGGATCTCACTAAATGTATTTAGGCAGTTGTGTAATGTCGCATGACAAATGACACCGCTCTGGTGCCAAAACAAATAATGTTGAGTTAAGTATTTATTTATTTATTTACTCCTTTTCTTTTTTTTTTTTTTTTTTTTTTTTAATGAACCCGATGGCTTGATCTGACTAACCACAGGCTGACTCTGATTAGTGTTTTCACGATTTGTTTTCAGATTTAAGCTAGTGAGCTAATGTGACAGGACAATTGCAGCCCACTGAAAGGAATTTACATCCAGACATTTAAGGGTGCTTTTCAGCCTATCTCAAAAGGCAACACTACTTGGTAATCAACAAATATAACACGTCAGTATCTGGCCTGGTTAATTATTTCTGGTATTTATTGCTTGACTTGAGTCTGAATTTCATACGCTTTCCCAAATTAGCCCCACTAATGATCGATGATTGAGCTTTCAGTGACCGTCAAAAGTCAAGGATGGTCCTGAGCAGCCTGGCTGTTTTGTGAGATGCTTATTAAAAGCCTGATTGCCACAAAATGCCACCTGCTTTGCTTTATAATACAGAGTGGACTGGCGCAGTGAAGGGAGGGGAGGGGATGCATCATTTTAACAGTCTTGACTGACAGTGAATTTGCATTAATAAACGGGCCGTTTGCCAGGTTTTAAACAGATTAGATTGTTCTCACTCACCATGGTACCTGGCAATCTCTACAGATTTACACTGTTCTGCGAACCGAATGTAGTAATCATTCATTATTGCTATAAGCCAAAATGTTCTGTCAGCTAAAATTATCTGTGTTCATTGCTAAATATCATTTCCAGTGTCACAAATGCCTAAACCAGAACTGATGCTATTAAAAATGCAGTTTAAGTTTGCTGCACGAGATAATGCTCAACAAGCTGGTTAAACAAAAGTGTCCGCTTCTATCAGTTCAGTTGACAACTCTGTGCATTACTTTCACTTTCTCTCCGAGTATCCTAATCAAACATTACATTTGTCACAATTGTGATCATTCACAGTGGTCGGTGAGTGCAGACGAGTTGAGGAGGCTGAAACGGACCATTGGTTAAGACAGTATGATGATTTAGAGGTAGTTGCAGGGCCCACGTCTGCTGCTTTGCTGTGCCGTGTGAATGGAAATTAACAGACCATTTCCACTTAGTCTCTTCTTGCTCCATCAATCTCAGTCATGCACACTCCTTTCTTTTGACAGCTTGTATTTTGTAATAAGTTCAGGAAAATGCCTGACTTCTCTGTAAGAGTTTTGATGCTTTGTTTTTTAAAAATGCAGTGCACCAGGACATGCGTGTGAAAAATGAGCTTATACTCACAAACATCTGCTGTACAGTCATAGGCTGACCGATTCCTGAGGTATTTGGAGACAGCGTGTCGGTCCCAGTGATCTTGTGAAGATGTTGGCTGAAGAGGGTTTTATTGTGCTGATTTACTGGACAGTACAGTGTTGCAGGCATTGTGTGACTCCACATGTTTAGATTTTTTTAATAACCTCATCACATCTAGGATAAGAGAGATGAAGCAGCATAAAATTATATGCTTCATTTGCAATTAAAAAAGAAAGAAAGAAAAAAAAAAAGCATTTCTCTCTCATGACTCTTTTCATTTTTGGACTTTTTCGTATCCTCTGTCTACAAAGACATTTGTCTTTGATTTGATTATTTCAGAAGGAGAAATGCAGATGAGCACAACCATAACCCTAAGCTTCTCTTGTCACAGCTTGGATAAGACAGACACAGCTGCCTCATACTGTGTTTCTCACGTACATAGTCATTTGCCAGTCATATTACCACACCAAACAGTCATGCAGAAGTAAAAAAAGATAAATTAGAGAAACACCAAAAAGCTTCGATATTCTCAGTTTTTTCCATACACAACCGTTGCATATTTGATATCACAAAATGTTGTAATGTCACGACTTTCTTTCTTGCCTGAATGGAAGTTTGTTCGGTATACGACAGGGTTTTCATTTTATAATGTCATGTTAATGTGTATGTATTTGTGTTCCAGGAGCGTGATGGAATGCGTGCCATACTAGAGTCCTATGACAGCGAGCTGGCGCCTACTGAGTACTCTCCTCAGCTCAACAAACGACTCAGAGAGGCAGAGGACATACTGCAGAAAACACAAAGCTACAATGCAGAGATGGAGGTGTGCACACACAAACACACACTTTTATTGGGTTGTACTTTATGTGATGAGCCAAGTTTCCCGTTTTCAAAGCAAACTTAAAAAACATGACTGATCTGTACTCCTTTAAGCAGCTGACCAGTTTAGTATGCATGCTATTTAGTGACACTTTGCTCATAGTGAGGCACCAGAAACGCATATTACTCAGCTTCAGCTGCTCTTTGTCTACATGCTCTTGCTCACTGGACAAATTGATAAATGTCTACATTGAAAACTGATGAATGGGAGACACAGGGATGTCTGCTAGTGTCCACCCTCTGTTCTCCTTACCTACTCTTTATGTCAGTACTCTACATATGCAGGGAAGTTTTCATTTTTTGTGTCACTTTACTATTATTTTTCTCTACTCTGTCCTTTCAATTCAGGGCCAGCTGACCAAAGCACAGGAGGAGACAGGAGCACTTAAACTGCAGCTACAAACAGTAAGTAAACATGCACACACACATACCCATGCTGGTTATTATTATTCTGTAGCGTACCATGGACTGTGATCAATGACATGACAGTTCCACAGAGCGAAATCCTCTTGTGCTGGAGACGTCATTTGCAACCACCGTCTGCCGGTAGTGACTGGGGTTAGAAACCAATATACTCAGGGGGGACGTAGCTGATAGCTAGCTAACTACTAGCATTTCCTAATCATTTTTATCTACAAATGATAAATGAGCATCCCAGACAGTCTAGACCAGGTGTTGGCAACCCGCGGCATGTGACTGTTTCACACCTCTGCTGCGGCTACTTGTGGCTTTGGAAAATAAATAATGAGTATTTTAATGTAAATGTATTTTATTTTAGTTTGTTAGTTTTTAAAATTTCATTCTAAATTTGAAGATTTTTGTGAACTTGTAACATTAAAATAAAACGTGTTTAGTTTTTTATCGCTCAAACTATGCGTCACAACCGCCGATGTGCGACACCAAATGGCACGCGCAGTGTTGCCAACTTGGTGACTTTCTCGCTAAATATGGTGACTTTCCAAAGCCTCTTGGCTACTTCTTTTTTTTTTTTTTTTTTTGGTCAAAAGCGACTCGTGACCAATCTAGCGACTCTTTCTGGTGTTTTGGAGACTCTGATTTGAAAACACGTATCGTTCTGCAGTTACTGTCCTCAGCGAGTAGTGGTGCTGCCGTGAGCTCCTCCGGGTCCCAAAATGCTCACAGGCGGTCTGGAGTCTGGTCAGCAGTGCCAGCTGCAGTCAGCAGGACAACCACACAGCATTTTGACTTTGCTGCAGGTGGATAATTTAAGATCAATTTTTTATTTCATATATACAAAGAGGATTCAAATTGACATTGAGTATTTTATTTCAAAATAACCTTCAACCCAGTGTCTTTTTTGTTTGTTTGTTTGTTTGTTTGGAGTTCAAAATGTTTTTGTTGCATGCAGAAATACAATTTTGTTTCCTCTGTAGCAGTTTATTGATTTCATAAATGCAACACACTATAGTTATTTTTATACATAGCATAAAGGTAAAGACGATATATGCAGTGTTATCTTCATTTTAGATGTAAAAGGGTTTTGTGGCTCCCGGTGGTTTCTTTTCCATGGGAAACGGGTCCAAATGGCTCTTGATTCTTGAGTGTTTAAGGTTGCCGACCCCTGGCCTAGACCTTACCTTGTGTGCCTACATTTGCATATCAATACCGCAGTTCCACTATATGGTTACCTCTGCTCAGGCTCTGGCTGCAAATGATGTTTGTCAGCATTAGATCGCAACACCCAATACTTCAGCTTAACTTTTGTACAGCTGGAGGACATAGTGACGTGTGGTCCATCTCTGTATACAATCTATTTGACATACAGACTTACTATATATTATGTTTCTCACATTGTTTAACGTATTTGCCAATAATTAACGTATTTCAATTGTACACCACCAGTCACTAAAAACTACAAATCAAGAAACACACATGCAAAAAAAATTCCCTGTATAACACTTACTGAAGCTCTTGAACTCTTACTTGCTCCTTAATATTTGTCACATGATCACAGATATTCTAATCTCACCCATTAGCAGTTGTGCTGTTTCGGGGAACTTGTTTTGGTAATGGTTGTGATCCTGGAAGGTGCACAGTGAGTCTAGACAGGTCAAAACATCCTGTAACATTTGTAGTATACAGAACAGTTTTATTGTTTATAAGAATGCGTTTTGACTTGTATGTTAGAGGGTATTAACCAGTGGAGTACCTACACTGATAGGCTGGGTATATGATCCTGTGCCTTCAAGCCAATCATTGTCCCAAACCACATATTTAAAAAACTATTTGGTACATAAACTGGAGAAGTGCAACTAAGCTGTTTACTGTGAGTCAAATATGCTCTCATGCCTCTATGGCTAACATACCAGCTAGAATTATTATTTCCACTGCACCCAACAATGAATTTTGGGATAGTGATGTACAGTAGAAGTACATGTAGCTTTTGTTGTATTGAATATAGCCGCCTCCTCTTGTACCCTTACAGTATTTGACAGATGACAGGAAATACATAACTAGCACTGGATATTTCTGAGTTATTCCCTGAAGTGAGAAGGGCTGCACAGATATACCAGTGCAGTCTGTGAGTTTTTCTTAATTGTAGGTTGTGGGAATTTCAAAAAACATATATATAGAGAGACATATTCTGCTTCTTTCAGATATTGAATAAAACCAGGATAATGTAAAGAGTTGACAGGTGTGACCTAAACTCTCTTACACACTCTGTGACTCTTTGTGTCTTCACTCATTCTTCAATCTCCCTTCTTTTCGTGGCTCCTTGTTGCCGAGGTGACATCAACATACCCATGGCAATGAGTATTGACGCGTGAAATCCACCTGTCTGGTATAGCAGTAATTACTTATCCGTCTTGGGAAGACTAGGAGTGAGGATGCGCTGAGAGACAGATAGATGCTGTCAGAAAAAAAGAGGAAAATTGGTGTGCAAATGGAAATGAGGGATAATTGCAGAGACGAGAGCAAGATCAGAGAAAAACTAACTAAGAGACAGACAGACTAAAAACAAGTACAAGGGAAGAAGACTGGGAAATTGCGAAATGGGAAAATAAATCGGTAGACAGATGGTGTATAAAGTGTGTATCTGTTTGTCTTGATGTCTGTCTTGCAAAGATAGCACCCCACTGCAATACAGTCCTCCAGATTTGTCTGCAGGCAAAAGGTTTCTCCCAGGCACACGGCCAAAGGTGGTCTGACGTTAGTGCACCAGGCTTATTTTCTCACTTTCTGTCCCAGGTGGAACTGGAGCTGGAGTCTCTAAAGAAACAGCAAGCTGCTGCCGCTGACAGCAACCCTTTAGTCATCAAAGAAGAGGTCAACATACTCAGGTAGTTGGCACACATGACCTGTTGCAACAACTACTAGTTCAAAACCTACAACATGAAAAATTCATGATGATACCTACGGTGGATTAACTCGCTCCGACCTTGCATGCTTGCCTGAGCAAAGCTATACCTCTAAGATTAAGCGGCTCTGTCAGGCATAATCATCATTCTACATAGCAGATATTGTTTATGTGCATACATTTTTCAGACAGAAAATTGAAGACCTAGAGCGAGAGCGGCAACGTTTGGAGGAGCAGAATAACATTCTGGAGATGAGACTGGAGAGACACAACCTACAGGTAGGCACCAAAACTTCCTTCCAACTGTTTTCTGTGATGGATTTACTAGTCTGGCACAAAGGAACCAATTTAATAACCCCAAGGGCAGCAACCCAGCCCGCATGACACCGCAGATTGATTCACAGAAGCAGTCCCCATATCTGACAGTTTTTCAAGCACAATTGGACCCAGGTGTGATTCCAGCAGTGTCCAATGGAAAAGTTGTTAGAACCTGTGGCTGTTTTGAAGTCCCTCCTTTATTGGCTGAAGGGATTACAATGGACAGAGCATTTGGTGGGTGGGTGGGGGGGAATAAATTTAGACCTTCCCCGGTGTCAGCTGAGAAGGAAACAGGGCAAAATGAAATGAATCCTGCTTGGTAGCCAGCTTAACATCACTATCACACACAAACACACATTGAAATCTGTGCATCTTTTCCAGCGACTTTCGTCTTGCAAAGTTACTTAACAAACTTCCTTAGTTATACCTGATCCTCTCTCCTTTTTAAATTGGCTCTCTCTCTATATATATATGTGTGTGTGTGTGTGTGTGTGTTTCATCTCAGTCAGGTTCTCTAACTCCCCTGACTCATACTGTTCCAAACTAAGCCTACCAGGGCACTTTAATGAAACGTGTGTGGGCAAGCGTGTTGGTTCCATTTAGCTGTGGGGTGAATGAAATCCATGTTTTCTCAAGCATGACCACCACCTTTAAGGCAATTGACAACTGAGTGTGCGTAGGAGTATGAGTGTGTGTGCGCGCGGGTTTCAAGGTTATATAGTCAATGGATCAGGTCAGTTCTTAGGAGCTAATTTTTATGACTCCTCTATGGTCTAATGCACACCAAGAGACCTCTACATCAGACTGAGTGAAGAGATGAGCGACTGAATGGAGAAGCATTTGAAGGGAGCCGTGAATGGCTGAATAAGCATGCATGAATGACCTTAACCGACAATGGGATTTTTCATTTTATCAACTTACACGTCAGATTCTTGCAGCCTAACTCATCATTTCCGCCTTGTCCAACTCGCTCTTACTACCAGTTAAATGATATTGCTTTTATGGATCTGGCTGGTAACTAATAACAGGGAGCTAGTGTCTTGAAAATGACCAGTAAAATCTTCAAACTGGCTCTAAACGGACTGGTAACAAGTGAAGAGAGGCTACATTAGGAGTAATGTCAGACTGTCTTTTTAAAAAGCTGAGCAGCAGTGTTTTAAATTAGTTGAAGGCATGACATTGATTGTGGCTTGTCCCCGAATACAAATCAAGATATTGCAATATAAAGCATGTATGATCTTCTCAAGATCAGATCTTAGATAAATAATAAAGCTTATTCAATATGTATCATGTAATTAGAAAGTGCCCAGCAGGGATGTGATGCTATCAAATGTTCATGCTGCGGTTGCTGTGCCTAACAATGACAATATTGGTTCAAGCTTTCCTGAAATGTCATTAATTGATAAGCTACTATTATTAGGGCTGTTTGAAAACTTGTTTGCACTATGTTTACTCCTCGTAGCTGGTCTTGTGGTGTTACACAGTGTGCCGTAAAGCTGAGATGACACCTGCATCATGGGCACTTTTGTGTTTGAATGATCTCGAGGCAACAAGGTTTCTCTTTGCCGGTCATGAAAAATGCACAACAACACCATGTTAGGGTGACTAGCTATGTTTAGCCAGTCTGAACAGATGCTCTGCTTGTGAACAATACATTAACAAACGAGAACATAAATGTATACCTTGTGGGTGAATAGCGGTAATATGTGAAACGGAACACTGCCGCTGTTTTCAACCTGTTTTCAAGCTATGCTCACAAGTCATGTTGTGAAGTAATACGTTCCATTGCCCTTTTCTGCTTTTGTGCTTACTTGTGGTAAATCAAAATAAAACTATGGGCTCCTCAAAAATGACAGTACAGTCGTGACTTGATAATCCGACCTTTATCAATCTGAAAACCTTGCTATCCGACAGATTTTTAGGAAAAACAAACGCATGAAAAATAGCCTTAACATACCGACAGCCTTGGATTCTGACTCCATCATGACATTTTGTGTCACAAATAAGGATAATGGCGTATTATCTGACTGAAAAATCTGGCTGATTGGCTACGTACAGACTGCAGGACTTAATGCTCAATGAGGATTTTTTTGTTAAATACGATTTTTTTTTTTTTTTGCGAGTTCGTTCACATTTCCAATTAGATACGTCTTGTATGTGATCTGCTGTGTGAACTTCATACGCTCCAAAAGTGTCCCACATGTACAGAAGAGGACACGACGACATCACACGCAGCGAGCATGCTCAGTGTTTGTGGACTGCCACTCCCCATCATTAATTGGATCTGTGTTGTTCAGACTGTGATGAAAAGATCAGATACAGGTCACATAGGAGAAAAAAAAATTGAATTTGGGTCACTTCAGCCTGCTGTCTGAACGTATTTACCTTTGATGTCAACTGACGGGCCTGTGCACAAGCGCAACGGTCAATTAGGCATGAAATCCAGCGATGCGTAGTGTTCTAACAATACACTAGGTATTATATCAACTATAAAAAATAAATATTAACAACAAGTGACCCTTTAAGCATCAAGCCCTCCTTGTATCTCGACCTCTGTCCTGACAATCCGACAGCCTTGATATCCGACATAAAAGAAGGTTTTAGTTTATAGATTTTTATTTGTACTTTGGTTGTAACAGTTGAGCAGTCCATCGTCTCACAAGAGCTTCATGTTAAGTATATTACTTGAGTATATTAGGCACACAGAAAGGCAGGAGTCTTTTTTTTTTTAAAGGTTATAAACATACCAGGAGTTCAAATTCATCTGATGCAATGTGAGATTAAAAGTGAAAGTGCAGTGTATGTTTACTAAGGCGTGTAATGCACAGAACTCAGCTCACCATAATATATAGTCTCAAAATTGCTATTTTTATTGCTGTTTCATAGCAGATTTACTTAATATATCCTTGATAATTCACTATTTCCTGTTTCTGAATTAAATTAAATGGGGGCTGCAGTTGTCGTACAAGTCGAAGTGGCTGCATTTGGATTTTCATGTTTTGAAGACTTTTCAATTTCTAGGAATGATGATCAATGCGATCCAAGTCTTTATGGGCACATTTCTATATTTCACTACATACATAGTTTCTATAACAATCAAAGGTGGTTTGTGTCTTTGTTTCTTTAAGCAGCTGTTTTTTGGGCTTCTGATGCATGGCTGCTGTTGCTGGTCATGCTGACTAATGAGTTCTCTCCTGGAGAAGGGAGCATGCTGAAATGTCAGCTTTAAGATTATGTACTGGAAGGAGCAGAACAGCAGAGCTTTCATCTTTATTTTCAGAACCACTGGATTCTCTATTTATTTCTAGCATTCATTATTGATGATGACAAAAACGTAAGCACATTACCTCCTGTGCACCAGACTTTACTACTCTACTTGGTTATTCAGGACAGTAAATGTAGAGGCTTCGTGATTTGGTTGTAGGTGTCGCCCATTTGATGTAGTGACGGGAAAATGATTGCTTTTTATTGGTAGGTTTAAAGAGAACGTGCTGGTGATTGGTTTGTTGATTTTTTTTGTTTGTTTTGCGGTTGGCTTTAGTGAGAATATTTGATCAAAGCTTGTCCGACAAGACCGTCTCCAAGAAAGCGCAGCGTTCCATTCAGTCTTATTGTTAACAAGAATGTTATTTGCTGACAGACTCTCAGAACCTGTCAAGGGCTGCTCTCGTCTGAGTGTTGTTTTATCTTCAGTAGCCTCTCTGTGATTTGGACCTTTGTATTCGTAATGGTGAGAAATCCCGTTCATTTGCACAAGAATTTAGTTAACAATGCGAACAAAAAGAGCTGCCGTTTATTGTCAATCTATTCTCAACAATTTGTGGTGTTTGCTTTTGTTCACTGATTTTGTTTTCACGCACTACAGCCTGTAGCAGCAGTTATGGTAGACTTGACACAGCTGTACTGTATCTTTGTGCTCTTGCTGTCATCCTTGTGTCTAGACAGAGATAATTGTTGCCATTGCAAGGGGTTGCATCAACGTATTCTCTCCGTTGTGCATGGGCTTACATGGGTGAGTCAAATTGTATAATATACAGCCGTAGCAACATTGTGTTTAGACATTATTTTCCGACTGAAGGAGCAGCATTATTACATGAAAGAGCCATTGGTATTTTGTCCGAACCATGGGCTGTCGATAGCCCCGGCAAGGTTTTTCCCACACTTCGTGTAGGTCTTAAGCTGTGCCCCTGCAGTGATGCCTTATGTCGGTTTTCATGTTTTATCTAAAATGTGTAGGGTCCGCAAGCAATCCCCTAAAGCTGCAGTGAGGAGATTCTTCCCTTTGCATTTTTAGTATTGGAGCTAAAAACTGTGGCGATATTTTGCTCTTCATACGGTCAGCCAGAAACACAGAGCACACTGTCGCCAGGAGTTGAGACCCTTGCTGCTTGATAAACTATAATCAGTGTCTAATGAAATAAGCCACTGCCACATTTGTAACACTGTAAATGTGTTGTGTCAGTGATGATTTACTCAAAGATTATGGACATTTTTTGTTGATCAAAAGGTCAGAAATACCTGGAAAAGTGATAGATTGCGTTTAAATAAGGTAACGGAGTCATTGTCATTACTATACGCAGACCAGTCTTACTGTGCTGTTTGGTAAACGCTCAAAGGCCCATTTAGAGCCACGAAAAAATGCAGTAAGACACAAATGTCGGTAATGATGGTCTCAAAGTTGGCAGAACTATTTCAACAAAAGTAACTTTGCATAAAAACTGCGCTTAAAAATATATGTTCAAGAATATCGAGAACGCTTGCATATGGGGTGAATTTGACCTGTTGATGCCGATGTTTGACAGGAGAAGACTACTTAGAAAGGACAAAGTAGAGGGAATAAAAAAATTCAGGCTTGTTGCTTTCTTAGGGTTAGGATTAGAATTCAACCAATCAGTGTCAGTACTTACACAGTGCTTTTTTCAGGCCCCTTCAGAGGTACCTTTCCTGTAGTAGACACATTT